GATCAGTCACAGTGAGCATTTGTTTCTGCCTACTCAATTTTTGTTGTTTTTGAAATAAATTCTTTTCCTTCTATTGTTTACTCTTATACTTACAGTAAGTAACAAACTCACAGCTACTTGATCAAAAGTTGCAAAACCAACCTCCAACCATAGATATCGACTTTCACAAATATATCATCTAATTTCTTCACCATGTTTGCACGTATTTTTCAACATTTTTATAGTCTTGTAACTTCATAACTATATCACTCGAAGCATGCAATATGCATTTTGTTACAGTAATGCTCGTTACAGCATCAAAATCGTGAAGTGATGAAAAATGCGTCGATTGATCACACCAACTGAGTAAAATTTCAGAGACGATTCACTGAGTAATCTTTTCAATACACAATCCTCATCATCAGGACGCTATTATAATGAGGAAGAGGATGAAAATGGCAATATTCGAACTGGTGACGATTTGGCATCGCTCTTCTTGTATTGCCGAACGTGTGGACGCGGAAAACGCTCAGTGAAGAATCAGAATGCCACCTAATCAGATATCGTACATATTTCTTGGTAATATCACATCTTATCGTGTGCATATGCGTATGTGATCGTATATATGATCGTATCTAATGATGCCCCTCTGTTCCAGTCAAACTGTTCTGTTCCTGTTTTATTCTAATGCAGTAATGCAGAACAGATCTCGACTTTGGGTAGAACAGAACAGATTTAACGTTAAAATAGAACAGAACAGTTTCGAACTTTCGAGATGAACGTGCAGGAACAGAGCAGTTCACAAACCACCATATCTCTCAAGTGTTTGCGCGGGTCGCTTTCTTGTGATTCTTGAGTTTGTTCATTTTTCTTAGAGATCTCACTTGATGAATCCGATTCAAGTTGATCGCTTGCTCTCGACTCAACAGAACATAAGTAGATCAATTGGCCATCTAGCTTAATTCACTTTCATTTACTCACTGTTCTGATTCATTTTAATAACTCGCCAGTTCTTCGTGAACAATCGGTTAGTCCAATTATAGTCTCCACTTCATTGATATGCAACCTAAATTCAACTATGCTAACAGAATAATTTTTAGGGAATTGAGTAAAAAAGAGTTGTGAAATTAAGAAAGACATTGAAAGCTCCAGATGCATTAAGAAGAACACAAAAGAAAGCATTTATTGGATATCCTCATGATTATAAATTGAATGCGTTATTAGTTTTGTTGTTGTTGTTGTTAATGATTTTTGTTCAATCCTACGTTTGATTGCTAATTTCTCATGGTTGATATTTATTTTTGCATGGTGATTATCATTCCTTGAACATACAAGTTGATCAATAAAATGACACTTACTCGTATGTGAACTGTTTAATGTGAGGTGAATGGTTCGTGGTGAACATCGGCGTCGTTGTATATTGCATACTGCCAAATGAGCGATTCAATTCTGAGCGATTTATTTCCGCAAAGGTGGTTATGCAGAACTGTTCGAAGTTTTCAGGGAAACTCCATAGATTTGCCACTTCCTAGCGTTTCGAAAAAATAGCGTTCGGATTGTTGGATGAATGCTAATACTAATAATGCGGAAGAGATCTCGCTCCGTGAGCAAAAGTTTAGGTGAGAGGAATTACGCAGAACTGAGTCTCGATCTCGGATTTCGCGGTAGTTTTAAAAAAATACCCGATATGAACGTAGACATTAATCCATCTATTTAAGAATCACTTTATTCACAGCTGACGTCCATAATGATGATAAGATTGCGGTAAAAATATCAAGCACCATTATCATATGACGTGTAAAACGATAACAGTGTTTCAGGGCGTCTTTCTAATCTCATCTCAGTTTTTGGCTTATTAATGCTTTCAGTTCACTAATTCCTTGAGTTCATTGTCCAGAATATTCCCCTTCCTAAAAATTAGTCGTTTCGCCGACAGTACTATCCTCCATTTTCAAAAGTTATTGTTATTTTCTGCATTTAACTAACGATTCTCATCTTGATTTCGTCTTTTCAGCCCTTTTTTACAGTACCATTTTGGCACTGCTCTTCCTCCTCACTTATTCCTCCGGACTTTTTGTGGATATGATCCTCTGTAAGTAAACAACAAAAACATTTTTGAGAGCATTATTCCGAAGTGTTAACGAAACCGAAATAAACTGCATGACAACGGCAATAAGTACCTCTTTCGCTACCATTTAATATTTGGTAGGGGAACACCGATAAAATGAACAGAGGAACTCAAAAATGGAGGAGTGGGATGGGAGCAGAGGTGGCGGGGGATCTCTTGAAACAGGGTGGCTCCGAACCCAGACTCCATGCGGCACGACTGCGAATCGCTCTCCCGATTCCCAACTTCAATAAATGCAGTGTTGCGACGTTTGGTGCCTGTTTGAGATTTGCGTTTTTCTTGTTCATACCACTACCCGCAAGAAGACTGACTGAACCACTGAACGTGCAATCGCAGAAAAGAATCGAAACACATCCGAAAATTCGAAACTTCAATCGGTTACTTTACTACACAAAAACAGAAAAGTTGAAACGACAAAACAAACCACATTTACAAAACGGCAGTGCGGCTGTGCTATCCAAAAAAAATATTTACATGAAACATGTTCAAATAGCCAACATCTACGATACTCTATTACTAATTGCGTACTTCTTTCAGAGAGACCTTCTGAGGACGGAACTGCGAATCTGCTCAATAGTTCTATATGAGATTTTCATCATTTCATAAACACTTCATAATATTACGTTCAGAGGGGTTGTGAATTTAAGAGGATGATCACATAGTGATAATAACAGTAGTTATGCAAATGATAGTAGTACTTATAGTGACAATAATTGCATTAATATTGAAAATGTTAAGAATACTGATAATAATTATAATGATAATGTCATTGATAATATTATAAGTAATAACAATTACAATAATAATACCACTATTAATAGCAATAATAATAATAACAGTGATCATCTTAATGCTGATCATAATTGTAATCATATCACAACCATTTTATTGATGATAATGATAACAACGATAAAGATGCACTATAAGAATGCCCTGCGACTCCTGAAATCACTGCTGATAGGTGAATGCGAGTGTAGTTTATTGCAGCGGTTGGCACCGCTTATCAAAGGATCACTACCCGTCTGGATAGCCATCTCGATTTGGTGTACCCAACAGTCATAAACCACAAGACCGCCGTGCTGCTCGAAGTTGTGTTGAATCCACGAGCGATTGTAATATGACGTATCATAATAATGTCCAGGATCTGGCAATAAAGTCACTATTGTCAGACGTCTTCCATTCAAACGTTTTGATGAGCTGAACAAGATCAGTTGAAGTGAAGTCGAATCCAAACAAGCAATCGAATTCAATTCTTAAAAACTAATTGAGACCAATGTACTTAAAATTTGTTTATTAAAATCGGAATGTTGATTGCATCCATCTTTTGCACACTATGCGATAGTTTATGCCTCATTGTCAATATGAAGCTCATCCGCTGAGCTCATACAACGTTCATTACATAAGATTGAATTTCATCATCAATTCGTTCGTAAACTAATTTATTTACTCGCTCGATTAACTATTAGAATAAACCATTACAATCCTGTTATCACATCTAATATGACTTATCAGATTAATCGCATCACCTTTATTTCTGCAGTCATCATTCAATACTTATCTTCACACTTTCAACGTTTTTTGTTCTTTATGAATCTCAAACGAATCGTTGATTTAGTATGAACAATCATGCAATTAAATCACATGAATACTGTCAAGAACATACGATCGAGTAGCAGCTAAATGAAGTGAAGTGACCAAATTAAGTCCCGCACTTGTACCACCACTGATACCAAGTCGTTTTAGTACTAACATTCCAGCTGTTGATGCCAAATCTGGTACTTTAATGGCACGATCGATCACGGCTGCTAGCAAACTGAAATGCAATGAACTCGCATTATTCATCTATGCTGGCATGAACATTACACGAGATTAGGCCACTAATGCAGAACAACAGCGATCGAACAACATCGTTAAGTAGAACAACTTGGTCGCACCGAACATCTGTCGAGTTTTTGTTGAGAAATTTCAAAGCTAAGATATTTTACATGACGACAATCATGCGACATAGTATCGTTGAATGAAACGATAAAACGCGTATACCTGGACGTAATTCCGTGCTTGACAGCACCCATAATCCCGTAGCCAATACCAGCCATGCCAGGCATTCTCCACAGCAGTTCACCACTTTCGTTCTTGAAACGTCCCTTCATCACATAATCGTAATACACCGAATATTCCGTATCACCGAGCACAATGTCCGTCGATATGCCGTATTTCTTCGCATAGCGTCCCACCGAACTTATTGTCCCACCTGGAATCGCTCACTCTTGTTCATCGTGCTGAGCACTTCCAAATATACCTTATCAATTGAATAACTCAATTCAAAATCATTCGATTCTCCATTAACAATGTCGTTAGAATCGAATGGATTATCTCAAATGAAGAGTTACGAAAAGTTTGGAGATCATACCAGTTCCTGCAGCATGAACGAAGTAATGAGGTATTTTAACCAGCTGATTTGCATCTGCTCTCATTTGTGCGAGTATTTCATGTAGCAAATTGGCACTCTCCAATGTGAAGTCACCACCTGTAACAACAAACAAAACGTCGTTCGTTTTCGAATAAATTCAATCCCAATCCGAAAAATAACAGAAACTGATTCAGCCGGAATGGGATCGATAGCAATGAAACTGAAAGAGCGCCTCATCGACTGTTGGCCTCACAAAAGCGAATTTCTTTGGCCATTCACCGCAGGCTGAAGACACCCTGATCGATAGCCACCTGATTGCGCACACCCTGGTGACCACCGATTGACAAACAAATTTGGCATTGCGAAGTGTTTGACATTACGCCGTAGATCACCGAAACTTTAGAATTTTGATCGTTGGCCACCGAAAATTGAATTTCAGTGCCACCCATCGAAACCGGAAGGGGGCGATTCACTGTGGACACTCAACAGAATCGTACCTACATACGTTCAAAGTTAGTCTTATCGGTGTCCACCGAAAGCAATTTCTAGATGTGAGGTTCCCGACTCCAGCTGGGACATTATCCAACGATGTTCGCAGACAATACTGCATAATTCGCTGATTCGATCGTATAGCGATGAATCACTGGCGTAAGCAATTTTCTTTTTATTTTGCGGAAACGAATAGTTTTCAGAAAATTCTGTATGCGATTAGACAAAATCATAGATACGTCTAATGAGTAAATATGAATATGGAAATGTTATCAGTGAAATGCGTACTCTCATGAAATTCTTCAGCTTTATCCGAATTCGCAAACTGATTCATGAAGAAACCACCGTTCCGATCAGCTTCCTCTTGAGCACGTATCAAGCGTTTACCGAGTGGAACCTTAATGACACTACCACCATATGATTCGATATGTTCCACTTTTATATCTTCAATCGTATCTGGTACCTCAATGAATTCACGCATTCAGATCAGATTCAGCATACACTTATTGGTTTACCTTATTTGCAGTTATTACATATCGGACAATAGCAAATAGATTATAAATGATAAAATACCTACGATTGCGATGAATTTTACACCGATCAGACTGCACATGTACGCCTCACTAGCTGCGGTATTGCCAGAAGACGCCTCATAGACGGTGGTGTTGTGGGTGATTTTGCCATCGACCACGGCCCACATCATCAACGCCCAAGAATAACGATGCTTCAAGCTGCCGGTTTTTGATGCAGATTCATTTTTGAATAGGATGTCAACGTTTGGATAGCCGGGCAACTGAAACTGCTCTTGTTAACAATATGATGATCATTGTTATTATAATCATTATCATCGTATGCACTCATACATGACACAAAACCTTTCGGATCGCAAAGTTTCTTTGATTCTATGCAGCCAGTGGATTGCCGACAATTGTGAACACTTCACATCTCTTGTGATTTTCAGTAGTACTCTACGTGCTCGCTAGAGTGTGCGAGGGGTGCTACAAAGACCAAGTCATGTTCACGGACCGAATTTAACCTGCTCTGATAGATATACTCATTGTCAGTGTTGCGATAGTTTTGAATAAATTCGATGGTTTTAATGATGGTGTCGGTAATTAGTGATGCAGATTTCTGATAAAGCATACGAGCAACAATCTTGATCACCTCATGCTCGCGACCATAAACAATGAATGAATAGGCCAAAAATTGGTGAGTATGGGCATGACAAGTTGAAAAGTTTTTTCCACGCCACGAGCCAGCAAGACTTTCTCATTTCTCGAGAATCTCTCAACACTGATAGTCCCACAAGCGCTACTGGCCTCAAAATACGACAGCTTATTTTAGTTTCATTTTTTCACTCACAAGCAATTTGAACATTGGTGTTCGTCCCATGTTTCGTCTCTCTTCCCAAAGTCGTTGAATCGCTCTGTAACGCCATCCGTCTACATCTGCAATTTGTGCATCGCTTTCTTTCGTTCAATTTTGCATCACCATTAGCACTTTACACTTTTCATGATGTTTTGATGGAATCAGATGAAGACCAGGCGTTTATTCAGGGTTTTTTTCAACGTCAGCACTTTTTGGCCAAAAATTCAACAGTCCCTGGCAAAATTTTGGCAGAATCACCAAAATTATTGGTGCATATGGAAAGAGTAAGTGAGCAAATAGATATGAATAGGTGAAGAAAAATTTCGAGGAAAACAACAAACGTCTTCGTTCGTCATGTGGTGCGTCCGATAGAGGCGCACACTGAACGAATTTTATGATCAGCACTATGGCTGCAATTACGATTGTTGATGACAAGTTGGAGAGCATCTCTGTAAGAAGTTAGTCATTTCTTTTTGAATTCATTGAATACGATTGACGATATTGTGCGAGTGAATGTACAATAAGACATCAGTACAATAATGCATAAACATGCGTGTTTTTTGTGAGTGATCTATTTGAATTTAGGGTTTTAGAATTGTCGTAAATCAAAACAGGAATATAATCAAGTGACGACAGAATGATTTAGTTGAATAGCATTTGTGGTGAAATTCTGTCGAGCAGGTAATATGTTACCAGAACAAATATTAATCTGGCGTAACCACAGAAGGAATGTTGTCGTTCAAAAACGGATCATGCTTCATTCAACTGCATCATTCAAAATGAAACGCATCAAGTTAACCAATTGCATGAGAATATTATAGGTATCATGAGATGTCATCTAATCATATCGTCATCATCCAATTGATACTTGGTGCCCAATCAGCATTGATCAGAAACGACTGATTAGATCAATGATCATAGGGAATGGTGTGAAAGCGTTTTATCGAATTGTCGTAGTGTGTCAACAGCTTTTAATAGTGTAGTTAGAAGAGTGATGGAAATAATGATGATTATAATGCTAACAGTGCTAATGATCTGACTGAGTGATAAATGGATAAACAATCAACGAAATACAATCAATGAAAAGCATCTGAAAATGTAAATAGTATGCATGATAAAAGTGCTCTGTTCGACATTACGAACAACGAGTTTCTTGTCTATTAATTACAATGGCAACTGGTTAAATTCATCGAAAGTAACAACGTTCCATTCTTAAATTCCACTCGCAATCATTAGAAACCAGACAATATTATTTATTTACTTTTTTTTTTAAATTGCACGATTTGTCTTGTGAAGTATTTATTCGCACGATAAGCATTGCAAAAGTATGGAAGGAATATAATTCTTCCTGTTGGCGAAGATACGACAACGACACCTGGAGAGAAGAAGGAAGTAAGAAAAGAAAAAAAACAGTGCGATATCTGTAACTGATAATTTTGGCGAAATTTTTATGTTGAAAAGAATTTGATTGGCATAAGTCAAAGAGAGTAGCGCATTGTTCGGTAACCGTTCGCTTCTAGAAAATTTTCACTGAAATCGAATGTCAGCATGCTGATCGAAGTTAACTACGCTGATCAGTCATGAAACATGTTGGAAGTGATCAGTCATATTTTAAGAAAGACTTGAAATTATATTCGAATTGAAAAAAACTTGACTGTCACTAATTTAAAACACTCGCAGTGATATATTGATGGAACGTTGTAGTAGACCGACCAAAAACCATGCTATCACACATTGAATCAACACAGAGAAATGCATTCTGTTGCTTTGATTCAACAATATAATCATGATAGCTAATTGTTCAAGTGAAAGTGATCACTGCATACTATTTAGATCATCAAATAGACCGTTGAGATGAACGTCGAGGAGATGGATGGATAACACCATGAAAGTGGGATTATCATTAGGGTGCTACGAAGAGAAGAGGATGCCAAGGAACGAAAAGGTGCTGATATCGATGATAGCAGAGAGGCGTTTTAGTGTTCGTCATACGTTCGATGGAATTAATTTGGTTACGAGGTATATTCATTCAGAGAATTTCTTGAATCATTTTGACAATAGCATGAACAATAGCAGATGTGATCAAAATAATAACAATAATACTATAAGCGAATAAATAACTTTTCGAATACGTGTTCGCTAATTGAAGATTTAGCAACAATAAAATGGAAACATTTTCACAATTCTTTGCAAACAGTGAGAAAAATAATGAATGAAATAACAGCATTAAAATAATAGAAAACAAATGTGGAAAGATGAAATAGGAACTGATAATATTTGGTAGCATCTGATAAGTCATAGCAGTCAGAAATGTTGGCTGAATGCTGAAGGTGTGCGCGAATGAAGAAGAGTCGTTTGTCGTGCGCTATGAATTTCATCAAAGAATATCTTAAAGTCAAAAATCATTATTGCTTCATTCATTCATTCATTCATCTCATATGCCTATTCAATCCATATCCATTTTTTATTCCATTCATTCTGTCAATGCATTTATGTTCCATACTGAACAGATGAACGAATCTTCGAACTGAACAAATCTTCAACTGCATTTACATCGCTCACATTAATAAAAACGTTTAACACATGCGATTCCTTAAATCTAATCAATTTCAATCACTTATCACCAATATTGATTCACGAAAAAAACTTATTCAAACCATTGCACATCAGCATTGCCAATAGCGATATGTTTTTATCACTGTCTATATCATTGTCCTGTTCTCTTCGCATTCATTCGTTTTATATAAAAATTCTGACATTGTCACAAATCAGATCAGTTAGATCCTTTGTTCACTCATTAAGGCAACACAATGTTTATGTTATTTCATTTTTCCGATACAATATTAATGCTTCATTTTTGTATATTCGGAATATAAATCTCATCAAAATATTTCCATCTACCATTGATAACATAATTAACTGCTTTCCTCATCCATATTTATTCGGCGAACTTGCACAGTGTGTCCTTGCCAGCCGATCCCGGCCCCTTTTTCCAATTCTAGACTTCCACTTTGTACCTTCAGTCGAAATATTATGAGCAGGAAAAGTCCTTGAGAAACACTGACTTTGAAACTATTGATATACGCTTAATGGTGTGTACTGATATGTTCAAGTGAAATGGAAAACTGATTCTGCGGTGCGTTCTAAACTTAGTTCATAGTTTTTTGCTGGCCGAAAAACTGATCTCACTCGAATTATGAATTATTTTTTGTTTCACACAAAATAGAACAACGACGCCTTATCACATCAGTTCCGCAGGACGTTCGGACGTTATTCAGTATGGATATTGCTTGCAGCAGTTCATTCGGATGCTACAGCTACGCGCCGTTACAATGATTGCATCTATAAACCGCATCAAATCATCACACCGCAAACTGGTTAGTCACGTTAAACAGCAAACCTATCATAACCTTTTCACCAATCACCATGCTTCCTTATTTAACCATCAGTTTTTTTCTTAGTTCGTCCTTTCTTGATTTTCTCATCGTTATTTGTAAGTACGTAAAATTTTAATGGAATAAGAATAAAAAGACTGTGATCAAACAATCAAGGTCATCGCTGAATAGGGATTGTTATTCTGGGGAATAAAGGACGAACTCACTGAATATTGTTGTGCTTCTAAGACAATGAAATAACTGCCTAAGTTTTCACTGAATACTAATCAAAAGAAAAGATGATGATGATGGTGAAATAAAATAC